AATCTGGGGTGTGCAGGTTGCAGTAAGCATAAGAAATGGAGTCTTTGGAAAATGTGAACGAAGCTCTCCAAGCCTCGCAAATGTTGGTCGAAAAGTTTCACCCTTTTAACATTTAATAAATGTTTTCGCATCAGATTTGTGTATTTTTAATTTAATATATTTTAGAAGGGTAGGAGTATGTGTAATATTCTTGACGTTAGATATATGTAATAGGAAAATATAGAGAAGGATCCAGCAAATTATAAAGAAGACCGTTAAAGTATGTAATGTGTGATAATTAACAATAATCAGAAAACTTGTCAAATTTTCAAAATTTAATAAAAACTCTTACCAGGATTCCAAAATGTGTGCCTCATCTATGGCAATCAGTGGAACTCTGTCACGATACAAGCTGGAATTCAGTATTATGTCTCCCTAGGACTCAAAATTCAGAAGTGTCTCTGGAGACATATATAGAATCGAATATGCACCCGTCTTTATGCCTATATAGATATAAGATACCCTTTCAGTTCAAATTGCAAGTGTTTTATTTTTTTTCAAGCAATCTGTACAATTTATTCAAAGCTGGACACATTAAGTCATACCTTCAATACAAACGTGAATGCTGCTGATCAAAAATTAGAGGGGGCAGTAAAAAACATGCACTCTTTTCGAAGCCGGTAGGGAAAGCACCCACAAATTCGAAATGAAATCGTGGTTTAATCTTTTCATCGAAAACCCTCTTCACATTGAAAGCAGCTATGATTAATTTTAGTGTGAAATGGTTTTGTCAAAATTGTGCAAAACCTCATAAATTCTGCTTTCACAAGAAATAGCTCATGTGTTCACATTTTCAGACTATAACTTTTGGGTTGGTGTGAAAGGAAGAGATAATTGTTTGTTTAACATGTCATTGAGGTTGATTAAGGGTATTGGCAATTTTTAAATCGATTGTCTTTTAAAACCTTTGTTCTACATTTCAATTGGCTGCTCACAATTTATGCACTTGTTGGGATCCATAACGGCATGGTCTTTCAATGATTGAGTATTACGTCATAGTAGCACGCTTATCACATGAGCAGCATCCATATCTCATATAGAAAGACGGGGTCAAAATGATTTTCATGCTAGATTTCACAAATATGATTTTTTTAACGAGTTTTGATAAATTTTTTAATTAACAAACTAAAAACAAAACTGTGAATAATATAAATTCGCGTTTTTCATTTAATATGAAGTAGAAATTTCAATAATTGTTAAGTCTAGAAACCTTTTTGAATTGTCCGAATTTCACCTCGTCCGAATTAATATTCTGCCGAAAGTAAACAATGGATGATGCCTACGCAGTCGTAATACTACGCAGGAGAGTACTTTGTTTACTAGTGTGTTTTACAATTAATAATTTGAGTTTACATTTACAAAATGCTTCATTAATTTGATTTAGAAAAAAGTTCACATCACTTTCTTTAGTTTGATACAGAATGTTTATATTTTGATCAAAACAATTTCTGCACTCTTTCATACAGCGTAGATTTAATTTGTGTTATCACCATGGTTTCCGTCTTCCGTTTTGAGGGCTCTGACAATAAACTAATAGACGGGGTCACGTGACCCCGTCTAAAAATGGTGTATACATTTTCAGACAAGCATAGAACTATAAAGTTAACAGAAAGTATGCTTGATTAAGAGCTAATATCGTCGACTAATGTCTAAACCAAATAAGTTAACTCTTAAAAATAGTTGTCAGTGTTTATTTGTTTAGATAGAGACCGAAATCAAATCGTATGCCGATTGTTGTGAAGGTAAACACGTGAAACGCTATTTAGAGTTATGCCCCTTCGTCACGTGACCAAATACCGAGATCTTGCCAATAAGAAAACATGGCTGTCAGAAGGCCATTTTTTCAAAACAATGACACTACAATGCAAAGGATGGCCGTTTGGAACCATTGAAAGGTAAATAAACTAATCAGAGTTGTGGTAAAATATATGTTTAATTAATAAATATAAATCTTTAGGCGGTTGAATGCTTAAAACTTCAGATATCATGCCCGAAGCGAGCGACGAAAAAACATCCGCCTAAATCGAAGGCTTTTACAACGCTTCGATCTGTAGCTCTCTGGTTTGTCTAACCGAATTTTTTCAACCAAAGAGCTACAGATCTGCAGATAGGCCCCGCCCTACTCCAGCGGGTCATGATTTGAACAATTTAGAATTTACACTACCTTAGGATGCTTCCACATTAGTTTCAGCTTTTTTGGTCCAGTGGTTCTTCAGAAGATGTTTTAATGAACCCACCTTATTTTTGTGTTTTCTTGATTATGTCCCCTTGTAAGTGGACTTGGCTCTTCATTTTACTCATCCAAGGATGCTTTGTACCGTGTTTAGTTCAAATTGACCCAGTGGTTCTAAAGAAAAGTTGAAAATGTGAAAAGTTTACGGACGGACGACGGAAAATGGGAAAACGGAAAAAGGAAGAGAAGCTCACTTGAGCTTTCAGCTCAGGTTAGCTAGAGATTATTAATGTTTGTGTAAGGAAAACAGAATCATGGAATTGTTATCCCCACCATCTCAGTACCCTGTTGGCAGAAAGAGAAAGTGAAAAGAGGGCACATGTCCAGTCAAATACGCATGAAGTTCAGCTAGTCAGTAAGCTTTGGCCAACTGACCATAACATTTTTAGCTCGCAAACATGGTTACCTAGGTATAGGTACTTCAAGAACAGTGTTCGGTAAGAGTTGGATTAAGCCGTCATGCAGTATAATGGAAGGTCGAGGTGGAATGCATTCCTGCTAATGTTTGAAAAGTTGCCAGTTGTGCACAGAGGAAGAGCAGTAATTACAGATTTGTTTTTCTCTTAAATGGCAGATAGTATGGTATATGTTACAGAACGAACTGTCATCTCTGCCTTTGTGACATTTTGCAGAGGTTTGAGGCTCAAGTTTCTCTGCACTAGACCTCATCCATCAGCTGAATTTCCAATCAGCCAGCTATAACTCTGGAGATTGCTCCGACAGTGAACTAAAAGGACTATTCCAGCTTTTACTAATGAGCACACGTACCAATACTAAGCCCGTGCTGTGAAATCGAGGATCAATAAACTGGTTTGTATTTTCTTGCATTGATGGCCGTGCGACTGAACAAGTTTTGAGCTTTAAATATTCCTGAGCAGGGTGGAAATGTAAGAGGATGCCTTAAGCTTGAAGCAGGAGGCTGCATCCTGAAAAGGCCCAGGTGGAAGGAAGGGGTGAGATCCGAAGCCCACTGTGTGTTTTAGTGCAGAGAGGTAGATCATTTCAGATTGCTCCACAAAAGCTACAGGGAAGTTAGTAGCTTTTTATGGGTCAAGTTCAAAAGCCTAATGCATATGGCGATAAGGTACGATGGTCGGTTTCTTAAGAGAGAAGAATAAAGACGAGAAGAAATTCCGGTAGATCAAAGTAAGTACTGTTTCAGACCTCGTATGTGATGACCCCGGAACATCCGACTGCGAAGACAGACTCGGAATTAAAGGAGCAGGGACTAGTTTTTCCCCTTTTGTTTGTAAGGTACAGGTAAGTGCTAGCAGTGTAGGTTAATCGTCTATTTTTATTCGTGAATCGCTTCTTTCATTGAATGTATTTTGGCGTGAGGGGATACCATTGAAGAGGAGCCAGTGAGCTAAGATCAGTCAAGGTTAGGCCTAATATACATCTATCCTAGTCCTTGTGTGATTAGATGTATGTATCCGGTAATTTTGATTTGATGTTGCCTTTGCCTGCGGTGAAGAAACCTTCTAAATCCATTGGGCAGCACCGCCTTTCTTTGGCTTTACTGTTAGTCTGTAAGTTCAAGGTATTTGGATGAGGGCAGTATTGTCCATCCAGCTGTATAACCAGCTGGGACCAAGATCTATCCGGAGACTTGTCAACATGAGACACTGGCTGAATAAGCGTGTAGTTATTATACCCCCATATGAAAAACGGGAGGGTATATAGTAATCGGTATGTCCGTCCGCCTGTCTGTTAAGCTGTGGGGTACCCATCACTTATCCATAACTCCTCTTATACCACTGAGTGAAATTTAATGAAACTTTCACAGAATCTTTATTACATACCGGTATTGCCATTGAGCACCTTATATTTTACTTTTCAATCCGACACATATTTTGGATTTCCCGGCCACAGCAAAATATGGAATTTACCATTATAACCATATGGGAGACGGGGGGTCTCATTTAGTGAGCTCATTGCTCATAATACCTCTAGTATTTATATTAGAGCTCTTGTTTTTGTAGTCACATGCATAAAATTCAACTCCAATGTTACTTGCAATTGGCATGGAAATTTTAGATTACAGTTTTAATTGAAAGATGGTGGCACCATTCAAGGGGGTGAGAACATCAGAAAAGAATTTAAGTCTGTTAAGATTCTAAAGGTGACTTTGACAAGAGGAACAGGAGCCGAGACAATTTCAGAAGTCTATGTCTTGCTTGGTAAGTGAAAGAGGAAGTGTAGGGTCTCCAAGCTTGTCTTGGAAGTTGGATATTTGAATCTTATATCTCGGTAAATTTCGGGTATGGAGAGAGGACTTCTGAGATTATTTCCCTTTGGATATGTCTTATATCTTAATAAATCTCTTAAATGTCCACAGAATTTTAATTTGGCTCTCAAGCGTACTGTTAAATTGTTTAACTTATCAAGATAAAATTTTCAATGCTATTTGATAATTTATGAATTTTGTAACTTATAATTACTGATATTTTTGCATCAGTCCCAGCTTTTTGAAAGTTCCTTTATTTTAACCTCCCTAACTTATTATAAAACTAGATATAACAACGATTTTTGTCATTTTCCATATAATTAAAAAGACTGAATTTTAAAAAAAAATGCATTCTATTCAAAATTAAACTTTTGAACAAAAGTGGTTTTTACAAACACCCTCTGGTCAGTATAGTGATTCGTTTAGAGGCGCGTGCTGCTTATTTAATGAACATGCGATTTCTTTACAATATAAACTTTAAGCTTCATATTACTAACTTACATCCACGATCTAAGAGTCTTTTCGTTATATCGCCGAGTACACTCTGGCCATCTTCATTGCACTCATAGTACGCAGTTGTTTTACAAAACAGCTCCGAAAGCAGGTTTCTGAAAAACCAAATGGTAGATTTTTTCAAACATCATCATGAATGGATTGAAAGCAATAAAATTTAATATACCTTAATTATTGTTATTTTGAGGCTCTGTAATTGAATTTCATGGTACTGATATACATCTTTTGTTATCCCTCGCAACAGATTTGAAAAGGGATATAGTTTTCACGCAGGGAACAGAAGTGACAGTGACGTAATTTGCATTGGGATCGATATGCTCGTTGCGAGGGGAACGCAGTAACAAAACACCTTCACATGCGCTGATTTACTCACCAGGTGTAAATTTTGCATCATGCAAATTCGATCTGCACATGGGCGTATATTTGAGCAAGTGAACGCAACTGCATATGCTAAATACATTTGTGCACATATAAACCAGTGTAAATTTGCATCCACTCAGGCAAGATGCAAATTTATTTTTGCATACATGTAGATTTACTCCTTTAAGTATTTTTCGGCATCTGAAAGGTGCTATGATTATTAAAACAAAAGGAAGTGTAATCCTAACTCCGAAATTTTATTTTCAGAGGAGAAGGGAAGTTGGGGAGTGAGGGTCCAAGTTCTTTGAAAGTATATGTATTCACCACTAGTTTAAAGAATGCAAGCTGTTGAACGCTGGTTCAATGAAGTAATCCCCCCCCTTCCATGGTCAAAATCGCACTTATTTACACATTCAAAGGAAATGCACTGGAAACTGTTCATAACCACTGCTTTTTACGATAGCTTATTTACATATTTAATATATTCAAGAAGTGGTGTGAATCAGATGTTGACACTCAAAAATTCCAAAGAACTTTTGGACAATTTGAAATCAAAAGAATTTACCAAAATCGACAGCTTAAAAACTTACGCATTTTCAACTATATACACAACCATTCCCCACGATAACTTAAATTCCAGGCTTTTTGATATTCTTGACAGTTGCTTTTTCAATAAAAATGGAACTGTAAATTTCCTTAACTGGTCATTGGTCATTTGCAAAATTATTTTGTTATAACATATTCTGATTGCACAAACAAGTACTCTGAAGTTGACATCAAAGAGATGCTTGAGTTTCTGATTGACAATATCTTAGTGGTTTTTGGAGACTATGTCCAACAATCTATTGGAATTCCCATGGGTACCAATTGCGATCCGTTATTAGCAGACCTATTTTTATATTCATATGAAGCAGAATTTGTGCAAAATCTTATGCGTGAAAAGAAGAAAACACTTGCTGTGGCCTTCAACTCCACATTTAGATATATCGACGACGTATTTTCAATTAACAATGGTCATTTCCATTCCTACATCGATACGATATATCCTGGTGAGCTTGAGAAAAAAAGAGACCACAGAGTCTGACACATCTGTTTCATACTTGGATATTTTACTTGAAAAAGACGTTAATGGTAATCTAACAACCAGGCTCTATGCATATGATAAACTTGATGACTTTAACTTTTCTATCGTCAACTTCCCTTACTTATGCAGTAATATACCGTCATCACCTGCACACGGAGTGTATGTATCTCAGTTGATTTGATACGCAAGAACATGCTCTACGTATGAACAATTTCTAAAACGAGGTAAATTATTGACAAGCAAGTTGATGAAACAACAATATCAACAGTCTCGTTTAAAGTCATCATTTCATAAATTCTATGGTCAATACAATGACCTTGTCAGCAAATACAATTTATCATTGAGAAAAATGCAGAATGGACGACGGAATTTTCCCTTATTACCCGATCATGCCAAGGAGCACACGGCGGGTGTGACCGGTCAGCATGGTATATGCTCACTCCTCCATGGCACCTGATCCCACCTCTGATGTTTCGAAGGTCCGTGTTTGCTCTGCTCCTATTTTGTATTATTTTATGGACTTTGGTGTTGAATACTGTTCGTTATCTCCATATCCTTCTTACACAACCATATATGGCAAGTTTGACATTCTTTTTCCATTTTTCTCCGTTAAAAAGCGTCAAAATTCAGCTTGCAGAATAGAAATGTATTCAATCAGGAAATGTATTTTGGAGTTGGATACCGTGCATTATTATTACACTATGGGTTCAAAAAATTAATACAGAATCAAGTGTCTGTGCGCCAGATGTATTAAAATTGTATAATGTCTTACATGTAGTTCCTCTACTTATTGTAATAATTACATTAATATTTTAACCAAATATATTTACTATACCTGCACGAAGAGTCACTTAAGGGATTGAGCTTTTGGATTCCATCAGATACTTTATGTGACAAAACACCATTCGAGGAGGTAAAGTCACAGTTCTTGGAAGAAATACATGGACTACCTTGAGTAAGAGCACCTGGTGAAAATTAAAATAAAAACAAGATGTTTTTGTAGCACACTGATGCCCCCGTATGGCAACATAGCGAATTAAAGGTTAAGCTTTCTCAAATGCAGATAAATATGTTGGTATCTAAAGTAAAACCCTAGCACCACCTGTTCAAAGGTTATGATTAAAGGACAAGATAAAACAAGAGACCCATGGGAAAACGCTCATCTCAGTAAGATATTGGTCATGCCTTTCTTCACCCGATTTCCAGTTTGTAATACCAATTGTGGCCCAGTGGCTCTTGCAAATTGTTTTAATAGAAAATATTTTAATGTAAAACTCGAATTTTGTATTGTGACCCTGCCCTACCCCCGTGGGTCAAGATTTGAAAAATAATTTTATTGTGAATCTGCACTATTCCAGGATGTTTCCACACAATTTTCAGCTTTCTTGAGATTTTTTAATGACCCCACACTTTTTTTATTATCCCTTCTGAAGGCCCTTCATTTTCTACAGTTGAACCCCCCCCCCCCATTTTTTGTAAGAAGTTTGGTTAAAATTGGCCCAGTGGTTCCTGAGAAGAAATTGAATTGATAATATGAAAAGTTAACGTTTATAAATGGGCGGACATCGGTCGATCAGAAAAGTTCACTTCAGCTCTCAGCTCAGGTAAACCTCAGGTGAGCTAAAAAGTGAAGTCAAAGAAAAATGGCGGTAAAAATATTACTTATAATCCTAAATACGTATATGAATATAAAGATAAATCAATAAATAAATCAATAAAAAATAAAGATAGATTGATAAATCAATCTTGAAAAGATTCTTTGAAACTTAGTTATACATAAATTAAGAAAAGTCGTTCCTTAAAAGTGTGCCTATTCTATCTATTGACACCTAATAACTAAATTGTTTTTGTTTGATAACCAATCTGTCTTGATTTTACTTTTAATATAAAATTCCATAAAAGACATCACCCTTTTTTAAAATAACACAATTTCGTACACGTTTCAGAAAAAAAAGTTCATTTACGATAAAATATCTACCTTTGAAGCTGCTGATCAGAATGGCCATAAAGAACAAGGTATCAACACAGAATCTCCCTAAAATTACCATCGTCTTTACTTTGCAGCTGATCGGGTCTTCCTTCTGCAACATTGAGTTATTCAGAAAGTCAGGGTGGTATTTGAAAATGATATGTGAGTACTTTTAATCAAATATGTAGTGTTATATTCACTGAAATTGGATTTATTAAGTAGTCTATCAAGGTGCAATAACGTGCTATAAAGTGTTATTCTTTCTGATTTTTATTACACGGTCGTGTCGATTTCTTTAATCTCTCTCGAAATAAATGTCCCTGTCAAAATGTGAAAAATAAATCCAGTATTGCTTAACTTTGTTAAAATTTCATTCAATGAAATGCCCTTTCTGTACAGGAAATGTTACTTAATAAGTTCTGAAATATAGTATTTACTCAATTAATTTTCCACATACATTTAACTGCTGATAAAGTGCAAACCAAGAAAATAAAAGATTCGGAAACTCTTGATCTTACCTACATGTAAAGGCACTTGTTTGGGAGTTCTCGGGGTATTTTGTCATTCCAATAATACAAAATATACAAAAGGAATTTAAGGGGCTTGGCCGTTCAACTCCCTAATGAAGATGTTTAACAAAATTGAAAGGTTTAATTTTATTTAGAACATTAATTTGAGCATCTTTTGTTCAAAATTATTTATCAAAATGTTTCCCACTTTTGAGTCAAAGATTTAGCATTCTGGCCCCTAAAATTTTAATTATAATGCTCTGTTGCAATGTTAATGTATTGTATTTTTTGTTTCAGGTTTGCTTCACTATTTCAAGAAAATCAGTTATATGAGAAATGGAAGATTTGTCACACTGGTATGGAACTTTAAGGAGTGGTTGCAGGGCCATTTGATAAACAACCATTGACTTGGAGACCGATTTGAATTCCGTATCCATACACAGGACAAAGGTTAATGGACACTTCAAAGACGTTATACAAGTTTAAATTTTCCTCAATACACTAACATAAAAAGGCCATAAAATTTAATTTCTTGGTTCTCAGGCCCTCCCTCATCTCTTCCAAGGATGCCTCATTGACCCTTTTTATTGCTAAATCAATAAAAATAAATACAACAAATCATCTTTCTCATCATTTTTTTTCAGGTTTTGTACAATGTAAAACGCTGCCTCATCATGTTTTGGGGGCCTCCCTCTCTCATCATAGTTCTTGAAAAAAGGCCTGAGAACCAAGGAATTAACATGGCATTGCCTAAAATAATGTAACTTCATTAGTGAACAATTAATATTTGAAGGAAGTCGTATTCCAATTTTCCACTATCGGAAAGGTGATGTAGAGAAATGGTTGCCTGACTCAAGTGATTCTGCAACTTTTGAAAGCGAGCGGGACCAACATGGCATACACATTTTTAAGGTGATAGAATGGGTTTTTTTTAATTGGTCAATAGTAATATTGTCACTTACAAAAATGGGTATCTCATTTGCCAGAGGGCATTGTATTGAAAGATGCTAATAAATATATCAGTAGTAGACATTTGCTTATTTTGAAATTTTAGGATTTGCATTTCCTGAAGACATCAATTCAACCTTTTGTTCTTCCAAAGGAAAATGGTATATACCTTGAAAAAAATCATCAAGGTGATCCGTCCCAAATTGTTGGCATCTGATCTTCTAGATCTAAGTGCAGAGGAAATGAAATGGTGGGAGAGTTTTCCAGCAAGGGAGAAATTTCTGGAGCCTCCAACTTATCTATTTTTTTTTAATTATCAAATAATCAGCCAATTTATCATTCATTAATTATCTTCTTTTTTGAATATTTTAATCAGGTTTTGTTTCATATGTTGATTAATTTGATATTCAAGGTATATCTTTCATTACCTGATTTGATCCAGAGGATGGAAAGTGCATCATCAACACACAATGCATCCCCATTGCCGACAGAAACCAAAAGTCTCTGTCGAGACTGTATCTCTTCTGGTTTGTACTTATAATAAAGGAAGAGAAAAGTAGCAGTTGGAGCATAAAACTTTACAAAAGCAAACAAGAGGTCCAGGGGCCACATCGCTCATCAGAGCACATCGGCTAGGAAAAAGCACAGATCAGATTAGAACTGAAAAGTTTACTGAAGGGAGAGGGGGGGGGGGGGTTGTGTCCTACCCTCCATATTCCAAAAGGCCATGATTTGAACAAATTTAAATCTCAATTCATGAGGATGCTTACATGTCAGTATGACTAAACATAGCTTTTCTGTTCTTGGGATCTTTCCTTTATTTTTCCATGTAAAACTTTGATTAACCTTTGTGGCACCACCCTATCCTTGGGGGAGGTGTTATGATTTGAACAAAATAAAATCTACACTAAGGAGGATGATTCCATATAGATATCACAAATCATGGCTTTGAAGTACTTGCGAAGAAGATTTAAAAAGATTTCCCTATATCTTCCTCTGTAAAACTTTCATCGGCCATTGTGGCCCCGCCCTACCCCCAGGGGTCATGATTTGAACAAACTTGAATCTACACTACCTGAGGATAATTTCACATGAGTTTCATCTTTCCTGACCCAGTGGTTCATGAGAAGAAGATTTTTAAATATTTTTCCTACATATTCCTATGTAAAACTTTGGTAGGCCATTGTGGCCCCACCCTACCCCCAGGGGTCATGATTTGAACAAACTTGAATCTACACTACCGAGGATGATTCCACATGAGTTTAAATTCATCTTTTCTGGCCCAGTGGTTCTCGAGAAGAAGATTTTTAAAGACTTTCCCTATATACTCTTATGTAAAACTTTGATCGGCCATTGTGGCCCCACCCTACCCCCTGGTCTTGATTAGAACAAACTTGAATCTACACTACCTGAGGATGATTCTACATGAGTTTCATCTTTCCTGACCCAGTACTAGTGGTTCTTAAGAAGGAGATTTTAAAAGGTTTTTCCCAGATACTCCTATGTAAATCCTTGATCGGCCATTGTGGCCCCGCCCTACCTTCGGGGGTCATGATTTGAACAAACTTGAATTTACACTACCTGAGGATGATTCCACATGAGTTTCATCTTTCCTGGCCCAGTGGTTCCTGAGAAGAAGATTTTTACCTAGTGACACATTGTGACGTCACAAACAAGGAGAGAACCTTTATTCAGCATATGCTATTTATAGACCTTGTGTATAGCTATGTGTGTACCGAATTTCATTCTAATCTGAATTGTGGTTTTGTAGATATAGAGATAGATTGCGAACTTTTTGATCACCCCTCATAGGAGAAGCTTTTCATAAAATTTTACAGTATTTTCCATTTTATTTACCATGGCAACATCGTTCATCAAAAACATAAAATGATGATTATGTATCTCAGTAGTCTACTTGCATGCCAAATTATATTGTATTTCACAGAAATTTCTATTTTTAGTAACCACGGCAGCACCGTTCACCGAAATCAAAAACCGATACACAGAATTATGTGTCTTAGAGTAGTCTACTTGTGTGCCAAGTTATACTGAAATCAGATTAAAACTAGGAGGAGTAGCATATTTGAAAATATTTCACAGAAATTTCTATTTTCAGTTACCATGGCAACACTGTTTATAAAATCAAAAAGCGATTAATAGAACGATGTATCGTAAGTGTAGTCTTCTTCTGTGTCAAGTTATAGTGAAATCAAACCAAAACTGTAGGAGGAGGAGCATTTTTAGACAGAAATTTCTATTTGTAGTAACAACGGCAACACCGTTCATTGAAATAATAAACCGATATACAGAATTATGTTTCTTAATGTAGTTTACTTCTGTGTCAAGTTTTACTGAAATCCGACCAAAACTGTAGGAGGAGTAGCATTTTAAATGTATTTCACAGAAATTTCTATTTTTAGTAACCACGGCAACATCATTCATCAAAATCAAAAACTGATAAAAAGAATTATGTATCTTAGTGTAGTCTAATTTCTTGCTAAGTTATACTGAAAACATACCAAAATTATAGGAGGAGTAGCATTTTTTAAGTATTTCACAGAAATTTTGAATTTTAGTAACCACGGAAACACCGTTCATCGAAATAAAAAACCGATACACAGAATTATGTCTTAGTGTAGCATTATGAAAAATTGTTTACAGACAACCAGATAGACGGACGCATTACTTTCCAACAAGCTCTTCTGGTCTCTGACCAGTAGAGATAAAACTCTGAGGGAGCTCACGGAGAAAACAGACAAGAGAACACGGGTAAGATAATCATCATTGTTCTTTGTTTACATTGTTAAAATTTATTTTACATATTCACTTGATAATGTATATTTTACTATCAAATTACATGTTCTTCACATGAACAAGAATGATTCCCCCTGAAAGAATATTAGTAACCGTACTTTCACATACTTTCTTTCATATTATAGCCAAAAATGCTAGTAAACCGATAACATTTTTACTGGAAATGCTATTTATCATATGCATGATTACAATGTAACTCTAATATCTTACATTAATTACAGATATGTACTGGAAAATACATCCAACCTAAAAGGAGGAAGTTCAAGAATTGCAATGGATAAAGTTTTTTAATCTATGGCGTACAGTATAAACCTGATTTCGTTATTTCTTTCATCATTACCTGCTCTGGGCTAAAATAACAATCTAAAATCATTTCACAATCTAAAACACTTAATGAGAAAACCAGAAGTCTCTGTCGAGACTGTAGCTCTACTGGTTTGTACTTATAAGAAAGGAAGAGAAAAGTAGCAGTTAGGACATAAAACTTTCCAAAAGCAATAAATAGAATAATGATCCTTGATTAAGTCTCTTTTTGTGGCTAGATTGCAATAAGACTACAACTGTAGGAGTATCTCTTCAAAAAATTTTACAGAATTTTCAATTTTAGTTACCATGGCATCATCGTTCGTCAAAAACACAAAACTGATAATTATGTATCTCAGTGTAGTCTAACTGCATACCAAATTAAATCAAAATCAGACTCTAACTGTATTTGGAGTAGTACTTTAAATGTATTTCGAAGGAATTTCTATGTTTCGTAACCACGGCAACACAGTTCATCGAAATCTAAAACCGATACAGAGAGCTATGTATCTTAGTGTTGTCTACTTTTGTGCAAAGTTATATTG